TTAAACATCAACAAAAAAAACTAATATGAATTCATACCTCATCAACAAAAAATTATAAAATTATCAATCATGAACAACAATTATCGTTGATCAACAGTAATCCAATTCATAATGAAAAATAAATTATATGAATTCCCAACAGAAATCACACTGTAGGTGACAGTGGACACAACCAGATGTGGAGTCACAAACATATTTTTTTATTACTTTTTTTTATTATTATAACAAATTAGAATGTGTAGTATAATATAAAAATATGAAATATTGATATAAATTTTTTTATTTGTTATAAATTAGTTAGTTATTTTAATATTTTATGATACTATATTTTGATGTTAAAATGTGAACAAAATAATTCAATTTAAATTTTAAAGATATCTAAAAATAAAATTATAGACTCATTTTTTAAGAGAAAAAAGATGATGATTTTTTTTAAAATTTAAATTCAATTAGTAATGTTGAACATGTAATATATTTATTTTTATATGATAATTAATTTTTATATGTTGGTCCTCCTTATATAAAATTACTAGTTTTGCCCCTAGTACATAAGGAAGTGGTGATAGTGGACGTAGCAACATTGAGCACATTGGGCGGTGAACGCGACTTCAAAGGACGTGATGGAAGCTAACGTAGCGACAATGACAATGAATGTAGTGTTAGAAAAGAGGAGAGGAAGGAAATACAAGAAGGAAGAAGGGGAAAGGAAAAGGGGAAGAAAGGAAGAGAAAGGGGGAAGGGAGAATTGGGAGAGTGGAAGGGAGAACCAGGAGAGGATGTTAGAGTGGAAGCATTGAGGAATTGAAAAAAATTGTATTGTTGGATCGTGAATAAAAAAAATTGTACCATTAGATCGTGAATAGAAAAAAATTGGACAATTCTATTGTAACCATTTTTAGCCGTTGAGAGTTGTTTGTAGCCTTGAGTTAAGTATCCATTGAATAATATTTTTTTACATTATAAAACCTCAATTAAGGGTAAAAGTAATTCACATACTCTCCATTTTCTCATTTTCTCATTTTTATTCTTCTTCAATTATGGATCCCAATCAACTTATTTATCAGTATTATTATAATTCATTGTAAAATTATTCATCTTTCACGATAAAAATTCTCAAAATTTTGAAAATTATATTTATCCACTATCATTTTTTATGATACATTATATTGTGTTAATCTTGAACTGGCTATATAGAGTCAAGCATTTTAATTCATTTCAAGTGTTTCCTTGATTATCATAAAAAAGGGGGAGATCGATGGTAATGTGAAACATGTCCCTACATTCCCAAGAGATGATTTTGATTATGATTCAAGTCAACAACATTTAAGACTCAAGCAAGCTCAAGATATGATTTGATAAAGATTATATTCAAGATTCAAACAAGCCAAGATGATTCCTGAAGACTAGATAGAGTCTTAAAAATACTGGATATGGAGGTACAAGTTGATGAAGTGGTATTATGCATAAGCCTCCAAAGCACAAGTGTGATAAAATTTCGTAACATGACATTTTTCACTGTCATAATTATGATGCATCAGAAATAGAAAAACAATTTTCTCTTTGTCATAATTGATTATACTTGGTAACATAATCGATTATGGCAGTTCAAATTTGAAAAATATATCTATTTTGAAGAATAAAATTTTTTAATACATCCTGATTTTTCTCTATAAAATTATTAATGACCAACGACTATTTTTTTATGCTATTTTTCTATTTAATTAAGTTTTGATGGAAAATAAAAAAATACACAATTATAGAATTCAAAAATACAATTTACATTCAATCAGTTTTGAGAAAAGAATTCTGAGCAAGGCAATAAAGATATTTTACATGTTTTGAGAAAACCCTCTTCTCCATTGCCACGGAGATATTTTACCAAAACCCTCTTCTCCATTGTCTACTATGCTTTCATTGTTAATCACACTTGTTCTTGGAGGTTGGCATTCTACAGGTTTCTACAATTTGTTGTCTCCATTACCCAGGTGTGATTGTTCTTATTTTATTACTTTCATCCTTTGTGGGTTTAAGTGGTTGATTGTTAAATTCCCTGTTTAGGATTTAAGTAGTCACTGTCCTTCTATTGTATTTTTTTGGGTTTCCTGTGTGGAAACTGTTCATCCCTTTGATTTGTTCAATGAGGTTTTTTCATCCTTTGATTTGTTCAGAGGAGGTGTTCATCCTTAGTAGGATTCTAGGGAGGTGTTCATCCTTAGTGGGATTCTAAGGAGGTGTGTTCATCCTTTGATTTGTTTAGAGGATGTGTTCATACCTAGTGGGATTCTAGGGAGGTGTTCATCCTTAGTAGGTTTCTAAGGAGGTGATTGTCTTTTAATTTAGTTTACTTTTTGCTGAGTTGATTGTAATTTGTGAACTGAATTTAAAAGATAGTGAATTGGGGTCACTCTTGTGTTAAGAGTTGACTGGGAACTAGATGTTTGGTTGACTATACCCGAACCAATATAAATCACTGTGTGCTCTTCCCTTTCCATTATCCTTTTTCACTGTATTACTCTCCTTACACCCCTTATTTTTATCTCTATCTTTCTCTATCTTTTTTATATTTTATCTCTCTAATTATATCGCTTCCGCTTTATCTTTGTTCAATTTGATAATTAAAATTAAATTAATAAATATTGGACATTTTAAAATAAATTTTTAATTTGCCATTTATTTTAATTTGTGCATCTATTCACCCCCTCTACATGTCATTTGTCTAACAGGTTTTCACACGTTAAAAAATATTAGTGTTCTTTATATAATTATTCTTGTCATTTTCTATGATTCTTACAAGTTTAGGGATATTTTTTCCACTACATATTTTGGTATTTTTTGTTGTTGTGTTTTTCCTATCATTTTCTTAATAAATTTTGAAAAGAATTTTTTGTTGGACTATGACCTCCGCCCGTCCCCCTTTCCCTCTCGTCCCTAAACGTTAACATGTCTAACAAAACATTCTCTACCTCATCCTTCATATTCGAATAGTAAAAAATTTGCTTAATGTAATTTGAATTGTTTTTTCTCATAATCTTATGTTTCATTGTTGTTCTCCCTTGTTGAAATTTTGAGTATGTTTGAGATATTTGTGATGGAGAGAAACACTTTGAGAATGAGAGAAAGAGGGAGATGAAGAAGAGAAGAATTGAATCACAATAAACAAAGAGAAAAGAGGAGAGTTACAATTGATGGATAAGAGAAGAAAAAAAATGAACATAATAAACGAATTAAAAAACTTGACAAGATATACAATGATGATTATACACAAAATTATGGTCCTTTTATAACTGTTATTAAAAATTTATAATAGAAATACATAAAATCTTTTGTAAACATTATCTTATATTATATATGACAATAATTATAAAAGAATGACTAGTAAAAAGTTAAATATACGATAATTATTCATTTTATAACAATAATTAAAAAGTTTTTTTATATATGATAATAATTCATTTTATAAATGTTGTCGTATGTTATATTTAATAACAATTATAATTAAATTGTTATTAAAAAGTTGAAATTAATTTTAAAATTGATATCGCATTTTTTCAACAATGATTTATATATAATTATCTTAAAAAATATCATCTTTTTTTATTTTGTATTAACTTGAAGGTCAACAATTAATAAGAAGTAGTTATCCCATATATTTTTTTTCATAAATATTAATGTAGGAGAAAAAAATTTAAAAATAAAATGAGTTTTTCATAAGCTTAAAATGATTTATATACAAATTTAAAATAAAAGTAATATAAGAGAGAATTTCTACGGATTAATTTATGTATAACTTAGTTTAATTTTTTCTTATTTTTTATTAAAAATAATTGTTCAAACATATGTTTATTATTAATATTTGTTTTGTTTTTCTAACATTTGATATATTTGAACTAGGTTTTGTCTTTTATTTTCATTGTTTGAATCAATAATAAAACATGTAATATTTACAAATACGTAGTATGTTTATTATTAATATTTTTTGCTGAACATAATCCATGCGTAAAATTTAACAATTCGTGTTGATCTATAATATTGATAATGTGCAAACTATACACTCATAACTTGATCAAGCATAATGATTTAATGATTTTAATTGGATGTTTTATTTTCTTTACATATAAAATCAATAACAACAAAAAATTGAAAGAAAAATTGGTAAATGTTTACTACATATTCTAAAGAATAATTTTACCTTGTTACTTAGTTTTTTTAAAAGTAAACTTGTTACTTATACTTGTTTAACATTTTTTCGCTATTAGAAGACATAACACGAGCTGTTTAACCAGATTTAAATTATAAACTAAAAAACCAGATCTAAATGAAACATTTATATGAGATCCACAACCTCATCTAATATTTACCATTGTAAAAGAAAAAAGTAGAGCTCTTTAAGTTTAAAGTAGAAAAACATAAGTCCAATCATTGTTTAATATCTATTTTATCATATAAATGTTTAATATAACTTCTTCATAAACATAAATCTAATAAATGTTGAATCTTTCTTTATTATATTAATTTCAAACCCACAAAAAACGTTTAAATGAATAGTTTAATTTAATCAGACAAATTCAATCGAAACAAAATTTGTGTCTGCAATATGATTTTGATCGGATGAATTCCGTAAAATTTGGCAGGCCTTATTCTAATGGGCTAAGAACTCTCGTGATTTATTTATTAAAGCGTAATTTTCTTCGTTCCTTGTGATAAAACCTTATTTAAAGTTTATTAATACTATATAAAAACATTAACAATGTGCGGGGATAGCTCAGTTGGAGAGCGTCAGACTGAAGATCTGAAGGTCACCACGTTCACCGCATAATTTTAAGATCATTTTAATTAATATAAAAAGATAAAAATAATTATTTTTTTCACTATTAAAATTAATTTCTGAATTTTAAGATCATTTTAATTAATAACATGGATCGAACATTTTAATTAATATAAAAAGATAAAAATAATTATTTTTTTCACTATTAAAATTAATTTCTGAATTTTAAGATCATTTTAATTAATAACATGGATCGAACACGTGACCTTCGTATCTTCAGTCTGACACTCTCCCAACTAAGCTATCCCCTTATTTAATTTATAAAATTTGTTTGAGAACTAACAATATTCTAACGTATAAGATGATTTATAATATAAAACGTGAACGTTTTACTTGCCGATACGCGTTTAGAATTATTTAAAGAAAAAACTTCACACCGTTTTTCTCTCGTTCTCTGTCTAGTTGCTTCAGCTCCGCAACAACCTAAGAATGGGAGGAAGTTCTAGTTTCAGGGATGAGTATACCTTCGGTGCGTTCAATTCTTCCTTTATCCTCCCGAACTCCTGTTATCTATATGTTAGGATTCAATCAAATTTCTTATTCTTACTATTACTATTGTTAAGCGTTGACTTATTGTAACCATTTGATTTGATTTGATTTTTGCGCAGAACAAAGGCTTGAAGAATCGCGGGAAATTGTGGCCAAATACCCCGATCGTGTCCCCGTAAGCCCCCTCTCCATTCTAATCACACTCCTCTTTAAAATTAGCGAATAAATTTTAATTATTCAATATTTTTTTTCATAATATTTAATCTCGGTTTGTGGATGGATCCTTATAACTCTGTTCATCATTGCGCCCTACTATTTATAACGAACGATTCATGTACCTAATACTTATACAAGCACACGGTAATGGTGAACATGCTTTCCGTAGCCCTAAATTGTTCATTATATAATTGGATTCTTCTTTTTCTTCTACAGGTGATTGTGGAAAGATATGCCAAATGCGATCTTCCTGATTTGGAGAAGAAAAAGTAAGATCAGCGGCTTGCATGATTGAAATCATCATAAGAGATATCAACTATAGCATATAATTGCATTAGGAGCATATCTGATTACATTTATAAATTTAAAATATAAATAATAACTATATGTAAATTGAAATCATGATTACGGTTTTTAATGTTTCTGATAGATACCTTGTTCCTCGAGACTTGTCTGTTGGACATTTCATTCATATTTTGAGTTCCAGACTTAGTCTGCCCCCTGGAAAAGCTCTCTTTGTTTTTGTGAAGAATACCTTGCCTCAAACTGGTAAACTTCCACTGTGAGGGCAATGGTTTCTTTCTTCTTATTCAAATTTGTTGGTGGTGTGCTTAAATTTCTTGTGTTTGTGATTATTACAGCTAGTATGATGGACTCTGTCTACAGATCATTCAAGGATGAGGATGGATATCTTTACATGTATTATAGCACCGAGAAAACCTTTGGCTCGTGCACAATGTAAACTATTGTACCCTGTACACTATTGTGTCCAACCCTGACTCTGTGAAGTAACTACAATCAAGAAACCTTGTACAAATTTGTTGTATGGTATGGAACTTATCATTGATTATTATGTTCTGATTAACCTTGCCAATACAATAAATAATGTGTGATTTTTAAATGATTATACAACTGAAACATTCCCCCCCATCTGGGTTTAGAGTTCATGACCATTGATCTATAGGAAACTGCCTATATGAGAAGCTTTCATCATCTGTTCAGAGTTTAGACAACTATTTTGGTTGGTATATTACAACTCTATATATCTTGGCTACTTTTCAGTTGTTTAAGGCAAAAGCAAAACAAATGTTCGGCTTTCATATATCTCTGAGCCATTTGTAGTTGATAGAATTCAATAGTGAAATTAAATATGTTATCAGCAAAGTATATGTTTTATCTCAGAGAAACTTACAAACAACCATACACAATATTATGCCAGTATATCAAGTGACCCTTTAGATGCTCTTTTGCTCTGGGTTTTGGGGCACCATTATACCCTCCATCTTGTCAGATAGACTGCATGAAAAAACCTGCGTAGCCTTGATGATTTTATAACATCTGTGTCCTCATGTAATAAAAAATCCACTAGGATCCTCATGTACCATCCAACCTGACACTGCTTTAGGAAACTAGGAATGAAAAGTATCAAACATCCTTGTATAATGGGGCTTGGAAATACAGCACCAACAAAGACCGTTGATTACACCAAATAAATAAGATAAGAACAAGTGGCTCAAGCCCAATTTCTTGGTAGCAAACAAGCTTAAATGTTGCCATTTTGATATAACATTATTATGATTTTTGAAAAATACCAACAAAATCATTCTAAACAAGTAAGTTTACCAACTCATGATAACTCGAATTCAAGTTCTGAAAAATTACTGAATGATTATAGATTACATATCTAAAATTCAAAATTTTGTAAATTTGTATGTACAAAACAGTAGTGATGGTATTACATGGTTGGATATTGAAAGTTTTGGCAAAACATTTCATTAAGTTTAACACTTCATGTTATACAGTCAGAAAAATAATGGAGTTAGCTTTGAAAAAATAATAGTTAAAAAGGACATTTCAGGCATGATAAATTAAGAACATAATTAGTATAATGTCATCTAATCATAGAATATATATTAGTGAGATTGTTGTATAGTAATTGCTCTATAAAATTTATGTCTAAGACTTTTAATTACGAGTAGGGATGGCAAAACGGGCTAGGTCTGGCGGGCCGGCCCACCAGCCCGTCATAATATGGCGGGGCGGGTTGGTGTTTTCAGCCTACCAGCCCACTTTGGCCCGTCCCGCCAAGCCTGCCAACCCGTCGGACCAACCCGCGGATGAGGTGGGCCCGCGACCTGTCTAATTAATAAAAAAATAAATTTTTTATTGTAATAAAATTAATTATAAAGATAATATATAAGGTTAAAATTTTTAAAAAGAGAATTAAAAAAGTTTTATTCTCACGTAAAATATTCTCCTCTCTGAAATATAACCTTCTCTCCTTTTCTCCTTGTTTATTCTAAGACTCGATTATTTTTATCTTTATTACTTAAATTAAAGGTGTAAGAATTACTCAACCAAGAATAATATGAAGTTTTATTAAATAAAAAAGATATAGGTATTTGAATTTTTCAATATAAAAAATATAAATTTTATAAGTTTAACGTTATATATATATATATATATATATATATATATATATTTGTTATTATTTATTATTATGTAAATTTTATTATTGTTCTAAATTATAATTTCTTAAAATAATGTATTGATTTATATTATTAAATTGAAATAATATATATATATATATATATATATATATATATATATATTGAATTATTGACAAACAAATAATAATTTTTTTATTAAATTTATTAAAAAAAATATTTAAAAAAATATTTTTTTCTAAATTATGGTGGGTCAAGATCTACAACCCGTCATGACTATATCGGTCAAGTCAGCTCCGCTCCACTTTTGGCGGGCCAAAACAGGGCCCCTAATTACGAGTATAAATAAATTGAGTACTTAAAAATTAAGTTTGTTTTTTATGAAAATTGGGTTGCTCAAATTTAATTCATTTAATTAAGTGAATAAACGGAAAGCTTACTTCATCATTTAAAAAAATAAAGATAAAGTTTGGCTTGTTGAGTTATTTTCAAACTATTTTATTATTGTATCAATTTAGTATTTAATACATATTTTAATACTAGATTATGGAATAATTTGCCATAAAAAAAATACATGTTCAATATATATCAATCTATTTAATTCTTCTTTAAATATTTAAATACTAGATGATATATATACTATAAAGAAAAATATATGTGATACTAATTCTTCTATAATATGCATATCATTTACTTGACTCGTTTAAATAATTAAACTTAATTAGTTTAACTTTTTTATTTCAAATAAATTTAATGAAGTATTACATCAGTCAAATATGAATTATTTATAAATAGTTAACTTATTTATATTCTTATTTCTAACTATTTTGAAAACTATTTTATAGGGAACATATATTAGAATTTTAAACTCTTATATTAATATACTCGAGCGTATCTTAGTCAAAGATTAAAAAATGATGATAATTAAAGGAAATAACTATTAAAAGGTTATTTCAGTGATGATAATGTCTGAATAATTAATTTAAGAACGATATACGCAAGAATACAAGTCAAAGAGACAACCCAATTGAATTATGAATCATTTTCTCAAATTGAATAATTCAAGTACATATATCAAATTCAAATTTCAACACAAATGAGTTCTAAATTTCAACCGAAGGTTACTCCAGTTTTCATATCAACTTCACTCTTGGATAATCTAATAAATAATCATTAAATAACTCAAAATAACACTATATATATATATATATATATATATATATATATATATATATATACACACACATACACATATACTATTATTTTAGATTGTTTAATAATAATTTTATTCAACCAATCATTTTTGTTAATATTAAAAAAGGCCCTAGTTTTTATATTTATTTGTTTATCTTGTCGCTTAATTTATTATTACTGATAAGACCGATTTCTGTATTGTGATAAAATTCTAATTAGTTTTTTCTAAAAGAAAGAAATAGTCTTTAGCCGTTGTTGGTTAATTGAAACTATCTTACTTTATCAAAATTATACGAAATGTCACATGTACTTATTGCAGCCATCAAAGAAAGAATAGAAAAGTTCTTCTTTAGTTCAGGTGGCTCATGCAGCAAATAGTCATATTGCCCAAAATTTAATATCAAATATAGTATGAACACAAGCATGGTGATGAGCCAGAAGAAGAGTTCAAAGCCAGAGATTGCTTCAGCCACCATGCAATACCGCAGGCTACAGCATACACACGTTTTGGTTTCAAAAGTAAGACCTACTCTCACCTTCACAATATTTCTCAACCTATAAATATAATGCACCCACCTCAACTTCTCTCCACCTCCACCTCCATTTTAACACATATCACTCACCCTCTTCCCCCCTCTTCTCTCACTGCTATACTTTTTCTCATTCAAGGCTAAAGCAAACAACACATCTATCATATTCTGCACAAACACAACAATATATTTACAATGGCTACATCTGTACACATGCATGTACTGCTCTCAAGCTTCCTTCTATTTCTCTCCATTTTCCCACTGGCCTCCGCATCTTTGAAGGTGGATTTCTATAAAACTACGTGTCCTTCCGCGGAGGCAATAGTGAAAAGTGCTGTAGACAAAGCCGTCTCTCTCAACCCAGGCATCGCTGCTGGTTTGATCAGAATGCATTTTCATGATTGCTTTGTCAGGGTAAGTTGTTCATCTTCCTTAATACCTAAATTAATCAATTAGTGGCTTTATGATTTAGTGTGCAGTGCACATCTCTAAAATTAGTTGCCATATATATGCAGGGGTGCGATGGTTCTGTGCTGTTGGAATCCACACCGGGGAAGCCATCAGAGAGAGAGCACCCTGCCAACAACCCAAGTCTACGAGGCTTCGAAGTGATCGATGAAGCCAAGGCCAAAATAGAGGCAGAATGTCCTCACACTGTGTCCTGCGCAGACATTCTTGCTTTTGCAGCTCGGGACAGCGCCAACAAAGTTGGGGGCATAAACTACGTAGTGCCAGCTGGACGCAGAGATGGTCGTGTCTCTATCAGAGACGAAGCGTCACAACTGCCACGTCCAACCTTCAACGCAAAGGAACTCATCAGTAACTTCCAACAGAAAGGGTTGTCTGCAGAGGAAATGGTGACGCTGTCTGGAGCGCATTCTATTGGTGTGTCACACTGTTCCTCTTTCTCGGAGCGCTTGTACTCTTTCAATGCCACTTTTCCTCAAGATCCCTCTTTGGATTCTAAGTATGCTGCGTCGTTGAAAACCAAGTGTCCACCAGGGAGTGATAACACAGTGATGCTCGATGCTTCCACTCCTAACCGTTTGGACAACAAATACTACAAAGAGCTCAATAAACACCGTGGTTTGCTGACCTCGGATCAGACGTTGCTCGGCAGCCCCTCAACCAGGCCAATGGTCCTCACCAATGCTCAACATGCTTCCACCTGGGCACGCAAGTTTGCTAAGGCAATGGTGCATATGGGTTCCATCGACGTTCTAACCGGTTCGCAAGGCGAGATCAGGAGGCGTTGCAGCGTCGTTAATTGAGTCTGCGCATGCTTAATTCCTTCTCCCAAAACTCATCACTTCATTTCATTTCATTCAATTGTTCAAACGTGCAAATATGTATTTCTTTTTTCTCTTCCTTCTTTTCTTTCAATTCTTTTCCTTTTCCTTTTAACTATCTCACGTTTTGTAATCTTGGCCAATTCAATTCAATTGTATATTTCTAATCAAGTCAAATAAAACTGTGTGATTATTTTTGGTTCTTTAGATTTGCCTGCTTATAGACCCATAGTCGTTGATTCATCGTTTTTTCAACTGACCAGACCACTTTAATTGCCTTAGAAAGGTTAAAAAAAGAAGAGTGTCTATCCAAAAATCAGGCGAATTATCAAAAGAAAATGTGAAGTTTAAAGTTGGTTAAGTAAAACAAGATACAATTTCACATCTTGTAGGCTTTCACTTGTTTTTATATATATGGGTGGACCAGTCTTCTTTTCCCACCCTTTTTTATGGGTAATTTTTTAAAAAAGGTATTATTTTTTAACTTAATTATTTTATTGATGGTATTATATACTGTCGGGTTAGATTTTTGTAACTTGTTAGTTGGTTGGTGATAAAGCTGCTAGTATATATGTATTCAGTCTTCTAAGTACTACTAACTAACAAGTTGTTGAGCAGGTCTTGGTGAGCGGTGTGAATTTTCAAAGAGAATATGATTGAAAAGCACAATTATGAAAATGGTCTCTTTGTTTCATTGTCAAACTACACAAAATGATATGAAATTTCCTAGATATACAAATCATCAAAACAATTTCTGTGGTACTGGTCCAAATTGAAGCATTTGCAAGAAGAAACCTTGTAGGGAAAGAAAAACCTATGTAAAGTGTAAACCCAATTTTTTGTTTATCAAGACCTGTAAGCAAGCCGCTCCTAATTTTCTGCGAGTTCCTATGACAATCAAACTAGTATATCCTAAAAAATGCACGAGGGCAGAATCTGAGAAGAATCATAGTTTTTGCTTTCACTATTAACCAATACAAGCCATAGCAGGGTATGTGAACTACCGCCAAGCACAAATACCTGCATAGCAGATAATTATGTGAGGATTAGTTTTTTTTTTTTTTTTTCTTGGTATGGAGAGCATAAGAAGACAGAACATTATACTGCCATAGTATTTTACCAAATGGGAGCCCACGGAGTATCAAGCTCAAGAAATGGGTATGGCCACCTGTTAGAAGAAGAAGAAGAAGAAGAAGAAGAAGAAGAAGAAGAAATCCTATGGGTGATGAAAGAAAGCTTTTAGCTGATAATGCAATTAGTATGAAAATACAGTTACATCTTACCACGTAAAACCACATGCGTGGATGATCCATTGGAAAATTATGTAGCCACAGCTCCAGAGCAGAAAATATGTGACTCTAAACCAAGGAAAGGGCTGAAAAAAAGAAGAACATCGCAAATTGAAACCATGTGCTGCAAAAGGGAAGGTTTAACCACAACTACCTAACCGTTCTTAAATCAGTGCCAAGTTTGATTTCGTTGAGAATTACTTACAAGATTATTCAACGCTGTATCCAAAAGAAGGAAAACTGCATTCATGCTATGCATGGCACCCATCAACTGTCAAGTGATGACCAGCCAAGTTATTGACCGTATCATTACTTCTAAACATTACGTATAATATTATCGATGGTTCATCCATATAGTATAGACAAATTTTTAAGGTTTTTTTTGAATGGTGTGAGAAGAACAAACATTAGCGGAAATGAAATACATAAAGACTAGAAAATTCATCATGCAACTTATGAACCAGTGAGCAAATGGGATTTAGAAATAAGGTTTAAGTTTATCAAATCTACTACTTGTATGCAGTGAAATCACGGGAATAGAAATGGAAAGCATGCATAATTAAAGTCAGCGTATAGAAAGAAAGAGGGTTACATTACACTCACCAAGTTTAGCTTGAAATGAGAAATTGATAAGAATGGGACAATAACACACCAAAATACAATATCTGTTAGGATGACAGCTCCTGCGCTTGTCTGTGAAATGCAGAATATCAATTCACTGAATTATTCGTGACAAATTAGAAAAAATAACAATAACAAAAAAAGTAAAGGAGAAGAATCCTTCAAGATCTTGGACCATGTGAGTTGTGTGCCATACCATAAACTAAGTAAAACGCTTGCTTTGGCAATATCTAATTCCATGTTTACAATTTCAATCGAAGGAGATGTAGAGCCTAAATAATCAACTAAAAGTAGTAGTTTACATTTAAGGGCCCAAAAATAGGATATGCATAAACTTGTCTGATTTCAATGTCGATATCATTTACCAGTCAACCTCTAAAACCACACATCATCAAATAACCATTGTCACAATAATTATCTATAGGAAAATTGGAATCAAATATAGGTTCACCAACCTGATAGGTGATCTGCATGACGTATCCCCAGAATCCTACTCTTTGTTTAAACTCCTCTTCAACATATTGGCTTTGCAACCTGATGGAACCTTTTGTGTCTTTCTCTTTATAGGCAATAGAGTTTGTAGGCATACTCTCTTCCAAATCCCTTCTCAGAATCAAATCCATTTCCCCATTTTCAAGCGGAGGCTTGTTTATGTACTGCCAACATCCGTGTGCAGATATTATTGTACCCAACTACATTGAAAAACAATACAAAACGCAAATTAGATGATACTTGGATAAAACAGAAACTATTTTATACACCTTCAACCGCATTGGTCATAACCCCAATTCCCTAAAACATGTGATTTTCCTCGGTACTTCAGATCCTAATTCAAAACATTTGAGATGGTAGAACTTTACTTACCGCAAAATATACCATAACTAAAGTGGAAGTCCACCTGAAATTAAAAGCCAAAAGATCAAATGGTCTTCATGGTCAACGAACAAGACAAGAATCACGCGAATTCCTATGACAGGTAATTCGATTTCTCATACATAGTTATAAGAAAATTTTCCATCCATTTGATAATTCCAGTGGCTATTAAAATAGAAAGAAAGGATAATAAATGGTCTTACTGGGTATAAAAGTAGAACGAAAAGGGTCCATCCAAGGCAATGATGTCAAAATGAATGCGAGCCAAGCAAAGGAATGCGACAGCTCTATACAAGAGAAGCCACAGAGGACTGAGATTTCTCCAACAGGGAATCCACAAGTGATTGTGGTACAAGGGCTGTGCTTTGGCCTTTACAATGTGCATTGAGGATGTTATGACCGAGACAATGAGGATCAAAGCACAAACAGGCACTTGCCATCGAAGCCAGTACCTGAAGCCCTCACTGTCTCCACCCCCTAACATTAAACGATGGAATCAGTTGTCAGTGTGGATGGTTTCGCGTTTTGGTGTGAGTTTCGGAATCTAGCAATTACATGTTCCTCAAATAGCAAATGTAATTTCCTGAATTGTCAGCGAGTTTCTAAATACGCTATAAGACACTTAAAGGGGCCTTGGGTTGGTTAAGGTGGAATTGTGAAAGAAAAAGAAAATTTTGGAGTTTGAAGGTACATTGAGCAAGACGCCGAGGGGAGAGTTAGCTGAAACACAAATCTGGTAGACACAGAACGTTGACCCTGGTGGAGCTGTTTTCTACTTCAAAACAGTTGCAAGCTTTTTCCTTTATGATTATAAAGTGTTTTTATTTTTAAGTATAAATATAATTATTTTTAAGTTTAAATATGATTTTAGTCTACGTTAAATTAATACATTTTGATTTTTGTATTTACATTTTTCTTGTCTTTAAATTAAAAATCATTATTTTTTTATCTATAATATGTATTTTACTAATTAACTATTTGTGTTAAATAAAAGATTAAATACATAACTTCAAAAAATAAATATTAGAGAATAATATTATAAATTATATTTTAGAAATGTAATAATAAAAAATACTGATTAAACTACACATTTCATAAATAATTAAAAGTATATAAAAATTAAAATCAAAATTCGTTAATTTTATATAATAAAATATTTAAACATTATTTTTAAAATAAGATGTTCAAGATTATTTTTGAGTGCGGTTAAAAAAGTTTCAAAATAAAAACAATTATTAAATAATATATAGAATATTATTGAATAAATATATTATAACTTTTTAACACTCTAAACTAAAAAAAAACTATTTAGTTTTTAATATTAAAAAATCTAAATCAAATATATCATAATAATTATTTTAAAATTTTAATAAATAATACAATAGTGTTGATTAAGAGTAATAAGTTTATAAATAAAATAACAAATCAATATAATATAAAATTATAGAAAATTAAGATATTAAACTTATGAATTAATTCAAACGATTAAATTATATCTTTTACATAAAAAATAATTCATAAACTTTAGTAAACCTGTTTTTTATTTTCTCAATTCTTTAATGTAAATTGTGTCGTTGGTATGTTGATTGGCTACCAATTAGCAAAACTTCAGACACAGTGGCTAAGTTGGTCTAAATTACCTATAGTTTTTTTTTTAATTATTATTATTGTTATTAGCAGAATTTCATGCAGGTAGTTCTTGAATCCATTTCCTATATTGTTATTCAAGTCTGATAGCACCTTCCCATAGTTAGAATGAAATAAATGCCCCCTGTTTTATTCCAAAGTTTTGACAAACAGTGATAAACCCTCAACTCTGAGAATCCATGATATTTTATTTCTATACATTGCTAAAAACAAGATACGATTCCTAAGGCTAATTACATCCATTTCATTGATGAGACACAGCACACAGAAAGAAGGTGGAAATTAGAAAGGAAAGAAAACAACGTACTCTGTATAGTAAATAAAGATGCTGAAATCGTATTCACGAACATCCAAGGGTAGCAACACGGCCAGGGTGACAAAGGAAAGAAAACGCGACAACAAGAGCCATAAAGGGTGCATTCCTGGCCAACAACTGCTCCACAACTGGGTGCTGCTCAACCAACCTATCACCCTTCCTCTCTGAACCACACTCATCACAATTCCATTGTCTTGTCCACCCACCAGAAGGGTCTCATCCAGTGACCCCAATTCGCTTTTGGAGGCCTCTTCGTGCATCCAAAGCACCCATAAGGTACCTAGGAAGGTCACGCCAACAATGCCAAAACACACCAAATCGTACCACTCTAATTCTAATGCCATGCTGTTGATGATTCAACCTTAGACAATGGCCTCGATTTGTTGGTGCATAATTTCTTGACAAAGTAAGAGTGCACGAGGGGGAGCCAGAGTGGACTATTTACTCTCAGGAAGAAGCTTTGGTAGAGGTTTGGGAGATTCTACACTTATTATATAGTACTTGCCCATTGGCAACTGGTAGTTTTGACTTTTGAGTTTGACTGTCTGGTTTGTGATGATGATCTTTGAGAAAAGTGAGAAAAGAATGTGCTTTGAGCTACAAAATTCGAAACCCGTGGGGACGCAAGAGTTCGCTGCTGAATTTCCAATAATAGTTTTGAGAAGAGTCATGGTCGTTAATGGAATTATTTAAACTAAGTCTTTTCCAAAATAATATCTGTTCTCAGTTATTTTTAATAAAAACAATTGAACACAATCAAATGCATTCTTTGTTCTTTTCTTTTTTTAAATTAATTTTCGAAAAATATCTTTTGGAAAGGAGGAACTACTTTGTCAATCTTATATTCAATTATTTGATCGATAATAAATTATTAATCAATAATAAATATAAAAGATAAAAAATATCAAATATCAAATTTATAAATGTATTTATTAATCATTAAATTTAGATGACTAAATATATATATATATATATATATATATATATATATATATAATTCTCCTCAAACAGTGTAAAAAATTACAAGTAATAAAAAAAAAAATAGAAAACTAAAATAACATACAAATGAGGTGATTGTGATCCATCACCGACCACCTAATTGATAATGGTCATAGCATAATTTTGTTTACACTATATAGTCCCTATCTAAAAGAGATTCTAGTGTTTTTTATAATAAAAAAATATTTCTCAATGATCCAAAATGTTAAGCCTCGTTTACTTTAAAGAAATGTACAACATACTAATCTAAATATAAATTGTTAAATCATATAATAATTACTTTAAAATAATTTATAGTTAGTTTATTCATTAATAATTAACACTATCAGCTTTATCACCGACCAACTAACAAGTTACAAAAACCATACCCAACCGTGTAGTCTCAAACCTCGATAACATTAACTCATAAAATGCAAGAGTTAATATAACTTCTAAAAAAAAAAAAATCCTGCTTTCAAAAAATTTTAAACGGTGTCTTTCAACTTTTTGAATAAAGACTTAATTGATTTTACAATGTCCAAAGAAAATAAATCATCAACAAAATAATTAAGTTAAAAAATAACACTTTTTTTTAATTACCAAAAAAAAAATAAAGTTGGGAGAGAAGGCCAGGTCTACGTCTACCCATATCTATAGAATCCAAATAATCAATAAACACACTTTTCTCTTTTACCAGACAATTAAAGTGGTCAGTTGAAAAAACGATGAATCAGCACCAAATCTAAAGAACCCAACATAATCACACAGAATTTTATTTGACTTGATTAGAAATATACAACTGAATTGAATTGGCCAAGATTACAACACGTGAGCTAGTTGAAAGGAAAAGAATTGAAAGAACGAGGCAATGATGAGATTGTGTGAGAAAGAAAAGAACGAAGAGAGAAAATAAATACATATTTGCATGAATGAACAAATAACAAAAAGAGAGTAAAGTGATTATTATTGTTTTCTTAGTTATGTAAACGGATGATATAATATAGGTTCGGGTATTTTATTTTAATTACTCAATAAAACAATAACTTATTAAAAACGTAATTGTCTAAAATAATTAAAAAAACAAAATATTTTAATTAATATTTATATTTATTATTTTCTATTTAATTTTATCTAATAAATTCTCCCATAAAATTAAATTCTTCTTTTTAATTAATTGAGATTGATCAAACATTGATCTAACCTTTTTATTCATATTAAGATCGATCGTAAATCGATGTGATTTATATAAGAGTTTTATCTATCCTTCATTCCAAGTTTGATTTATTGTCAACTCTTCATCTTTTTCTTTTCTTTTTTTCTCGATTGAGTTCGATCAAATGTCAACCTAAAAGTTTCTTATCTCTCTTCTTAAATACTCACCTCACATCAATAGATTGATCATATTCAGTCATTACCTATGTGCAGTTACATTTTATAACTCGAATCTTCTTGTCCATAACAACTCACCTCTTTACTTTCACTCTTTTGGACTCACCTCTTTACTTTCACTCTTTTAGACTCATCTTTATATGTTTGTCTCTCAAGGAAGTTTTCTTAAAAGAATACAATGATGAATAAGCTTTGATAGGGTCACTTCAGAATCTACTACTTAGACTTAGCTCGAACAAGTTTGACTTCGGATGCGAAAGAGTGAGAGATCCACAATATACTAACTCTGTTGTTTTTTCCTTCTCCTCAATTTTCGAACTAGTTATAACTGGTGTAACAACTCGACTTCCTCTAAAATTTGTTTCATCAACTCGGACATCACGATCAACATCATGAATAAACTCGATTAAACCACAAAAATATAGGTGACCAAATCGATGATTTCTCTTCAACGTGTCCTCTACATTTAGTTTTAGACACCTTTCTTGAATGCTTCTTAGCTACAACTTGTGCGTTCTATTCTTCCCCATCTCAACTCGGACAATTGTAGTACTCAGTCTTTTATGAATATCGAGTATCCTCTCTCCATCAGTTGTCTCATACTCAAACGACTACTCTTGAGATCTAGAACAAAGTACATATATCAGATTGACCCAATTAGGCCATCCCTATGTAAGAAGCAAATCGTACCTCAGTATTTTACTGAGATCTTTGAAGTATCTTCAAAAGACACATGATTGCCCTCAATTTTCTTCAATTCGCTAAATAGGTGATCGTTCCCACTCATGTGGTTTGCTTGCACCCATATCTAGATACCATACTGAATTAAGATTGGTATCTTCGTGAACTCCATTATTGTTATTTTCCTAATTATCATTGTTACTTCCATGTCCTTTCACAGTGGCGAATCTTCTTGAGAACTAAGGGGGTCATGGCCCCCCAAAGTTTTGTAACTCCCATATAATTTATGATTTTGTCCCCTCCAAAAACTTAATGATCATTTAATATATTTACTTATATATTTACAATTTTATCCTCTCACCCTCGCCTTAGTTTTGTAACTCCTATATAATTTATGATTTTAGTTCTTTCAAACTTAAAGTTCATTTAATATATTTTCTTATATATTTACAATTTTATCCTCTCACCCTTTCATCTTCTTTTAACCTTTTATATTTATTTATTATTTATTAGTAATATATCATTTGGCCTCCCCAAAATAAATGGTCAAGATTCACCACTGTCCTTTTGAATTGTAATATGCTTCCATATGTGTTGTCGAGTTTTAATTAACATTCTCGTAATTTATCGAGTTATAATTGGCCATCAATAGTAAAGGTTCTTTAACTTCCACATTTTCTACAAGGTTGGTTGTCTCTTCCACCTTTTCATCAACTTGACATTCTTTAGCAAAATGTTCAATCTTACCACAATTGTAACATTTGCCCGAGTAACAATCATTTACATAGTAACCATATTTGTCACACTTAAAGCAATATGTTATAGGTCGGTGATCGATCTCCTCTCCAACCACATTCTTTACCACTCTAGTTTCCCTGATTTTCTTCTTTTTCCTCATAACCTCTACTACCTCGTCCCGACCATGTCTTCACCCTCTATCTTGAGTGTTTTAAGAGTAGAGAACTTTCTCACTTGTCTCACTCTGGAGCACTTGACTCATTATCTCCTCTTTCTTTTTCTTCTTTTGTGTTCATAAGCTTCAAGAGAATCAACCAGCTCTTGTACTGTCAACTTGAATGGGTCCTTTAGTTTCTCTATCACGCACACTACATTCTTAAAGTTATCAGTTAATGACCTCAAAATCTTCTCTATAATATGGTCTTCCAAAAATGTCTCTCGATTCCAATTAAGTTGATTCACCACGGTTTTAATATGCGTGACTTATTCAATAACTCCTTCCAACCCTTTCATTCTCATGCTTACGTAGTGTGTGACGTTCCTTTTTATCATGTTGTTAATTTAATTATATTTTAAGAGATAATTATTTTTCATTAAATTTTGACAAAAGCAAGGCATGAAATAAATGTTTATACATTTATATGCATAAATATATGAACTTTACAAGTTTACATTATTTCTATATTAGAAACAATTATTAAAATTGACAAACATTTTTATTCTAAAAATGGTTGATTTATCAATGATACTTATCTTTTATCTTGATGTTTCCATTTAATTAGGTTGATATTTTAGTTGTAACATGCACAAAAGATAACAATAGAGAACTGATAACAATTATCATGTCAAATAATATAATATTAAAATGATATATAAATGCATCTTTTCAACTTCATCAACATATTTCATTTATTTTATATTATAAATTTGAATTGATTTTTTTAGCGACTAATCAGGATAAATTAGTCCAAAATTAATCATCCTTTAATTGATATTTATTCATTTTAATCTCTAAGGTCTAACATTTATCTACGATGTCATCAAATCTTCATAAATAATATTTTATTCTTAAAGAAAATTTAAGCAACAATCCAATAATATAAATATAAATTAATAAACAAGGACCCGTGCAAAACTGAGTATAAATATAAATATATAAGATGATAAGTGCATAACTAAAGGTAAATAAATAAATATAAATGATAACTAGTGTGTAACTATAGATAAATATAAAACAAAATCAATGTGTAACTGAAGATAAATAAATAAATATAAAGTGGGACTAGGGCATAACTAAAGATAAAAAAAAATAGGACAAATGCATAACTAATGATAAAATAAATAGTACCAGTGCGTAACTTGAGATAAATAAATAAATATCAAGCATGATCAATGCGCAATTAGAGATAAAATAAATAGGATCAATGCATAAACGATGATAAATAAATAAATATAAAGTAGGATTTGTGCATGATTGAAGATAAAAAAAAAATAAGACTAGTGTGTAACTGAAGATAAGATAAATATATGATCAATATGTAATTAGAGATAAATATAA